AACTGATTGGAAGCTCAATTTAAAAACACCTACTTCATCCCATAAAGTATTTCAGTTTGCAAGCTTTAAGCAGCAGATTCATGCATAAGCAAATCCCAACACAGCCTCTCTGTTATCCATATTTGTAAGCCAAAGGAGTGGAATAACTCAGTCCATCAAAAACACACAACACAAATTAAGATGATATGAAATGAATGATGTCTGTGCTGATGTTGATGGATCCTGGCTGGTATCTGAGAATACCAGAAATATGTTTACCTGCATTTCACTGATTATGCAAAAAAGATATTCAACTATGTGAATCATAAATAATTGCGAAAAATGAGAATCCCAAAAAATTTCATTGTGCTCATGTGGTACCTGTACATAGTGGTTTAGACAGAAAAGGGGGGTATTACATAGTTTACAGTCAGGAAAGAGGTACATCAGTGGTGCATCCTCTCACCATACTTATTCAATCTGAATGCGGAGCAAATGCGCCATCTGTCAGTTTGTTGTACTGTGGTGGCTTGTGCACTTCTGTGATACTGGAACCTATGCCACTTCAAGCACCAGCAGGGTCACCCAATATAAACAGGTTTCTGTGGAGCTTCCAGACCAAGAACAGATGAGGGAGAAGGAATAGACGGTCCACTTCTGAGGGGGTTAACCCCTGAAAACTGTAGGAATAGCAGCAAAACCTTATCAAAGATAGTGCTGGAGGATGAGCCCTCCCATGGGAAGGCACTCCACCCATGGCTGGGAAGAGGAGCTTCTTCAAAGTCAACTTGAATAGAATGATGTGGATGGAGCGAAGCTTTTGGAACCTTCATTTGCTGAAGGGGAATGACTCAAAATGAGAAAAAAATGGCTGTAATATCTATTACTAATCATAATGTGCAATGTGCAGAGTAGGAATCATTGGCAAATTGGAAGTCATCAAAAATGCAACAAAGCACAAAGATCTATATCCTGGGCATTAATGAGTGAAATGGGCTGATATAGCCACTTTGAATCATGAGATCTCTGTCTGTGGTAGGAAAAATCTCTATGCCTATAAGAAAATCCAGTTAATACAATTATTCTTAAAATGTTTGCATCTAGTACTAAAGCTACTGATGAAGAAATTGAAGAATTCTACTGACTTCTTCAATCTGAAATTGATCAAACATGCAATCAAGATGCATTGATAATTACTGGTGCAAAAATTGCAAAGAGGAAGAGATAGTATTTGGAAAATATGGTCTGGGTGATAGAAATAAAGTTGGAGATCACATGTAGAATATGGCAAGGCCAGAAACTTCTTCACTGCAAAAACCTTGTCTCAACAACACGAACAGCGATGGATACATGGACCTCACCAACTGGAATACACAGGAATCAAATTGAATATATTCATGGGAAGAGATGATGGGGAAGCTCAGTATTAGAAGCCAAAATGAGACTGGGTCAATTGTGGAACAATCAATCAATTGCTCATTTATAAGTTCTGGTTGAAGCTGAAGAAAATTAAAACAAATTCACAAAAGCCAAAGTATGACCTTGCATCTATCCCACTTGAATTTCAAGAACAGGTTTGACACATTGAACACAAATAAGAGAAGATCTCTCTCTCTCTCTCTCTCTCTCTCACACACACACACACACACACACACACACACACAAAGACCCAGTGAACTGTGACTTCAAAAATATTATACAAGAAGAAAGCAAAGGGTCATTTAAAAGACAAGAAAGAAAGAAACAAACAAGCAAACAAAAGATCAAAATGGATGCCAAGAGAGACTCAGAAACTTGCTTTTGATAATACAGTAGCTAAAGCAAAGGGAACAAAATGATGATTGAACAGAAGATTTCCAAAGGCAACTTGAGAAGATAAAGTATTACAAGTATGCAAAGACCTAGAGTTAGGAAGTCAAAAAAAGAAACATTCCCAGTACAGCTCAAGCTAAAAGAACTGAAGAAAAATTCAAGCCTTGAGTTCCAATACTGAAGGATTCTATGGGACAAATCATGGCATTAGGTAAATCTGCTGCACGAGACCTTGTTAAAGTGTTGAAAAGCAAGGATGTTACTTTGAGGACTAAGGTGCACTTGACCCAGGCGGTGGTATTTTCAGTGGCCTCAAATGCACGTGAAAGTTGAAAGAAGGAATAAGGAAGAATGAAGATGAACAAATGCATTTGAATTGGTGAAGAATATTGGAAGTACCGTGAGTGTTACAGCTCTTTTAGAATTTGTCTAGCAGGTTTTCTGTTTGTTTTTTCTGGAACCTCCCCGCCCCCCCCTCCCCCGCACACACACACAGAGAAGTGCTATGGACTGCTAAGAGAACAAACAAATCTGTCTTGGACTAAATACAGCCAGAGTGCATCTTAGAGGCAAAGATGGTGAAATTTTGCTTCAAGTACTGTGGATGTGTTGTCAGGAGAGACCAGTTCCCAAGAAAGACATCATACTTGGTAAAGTAGAGGGACAGTGAAAGAGAGGGAGACCTTCAACAAGAGGAAGACCTTCAACAAGACCGACACAGTGGCTGCATAGACGGGCTTAAACACAAGAAGTCTTGTACGGATCATGCAGGACGAGGGAATGTTTCATTCTGTTGTTCACAGAGTCCCTGTGGGTTGGAACTGAGTTGATGGTACTACTCACAACACCATGGGCAGAAGATTGAACGATGTAGGAACATCAAAAGAAGATGGAAGAAACGCAGAGGGTCACTGGACTGAAAACACTGATTGACATTCGAACATTTCAAGAGGTAGCATCATGAAACAGTGAGATGGAAGACACTAACGAAAAACAAGGCTTGGGAATTGACAGAATACCAATTGAAATGTTGCAACCAGCTGATGAAGCACTCATTTGTCTATGGCAAGAAATGTGAAGATAATTACCTTCCCACTGACTGGAAGAGATCTGTATTTGCACCCATCCCAAAGGAAGGCGCTCCCACAGAATAAGGAAACAATCTAATGATATCATTAATATCACATGCAAGTAAAATTTTGCTGAAGACCATTCAACAATGTTTGCAGCAGTATGTCTACAAGGAGCTGCCAGAATTTCAAGCTGGATTCAGAAGAGGGTGTGACATGAGGCATATCATTGTTGGCAAAGGCGTTCAACTGTGTAACTTATAACAAACTATTATGTGAAAATGGTGTGGAGGGAAGAGGGGGCCATATCTGGCCTCCTTGGCCTTCCCTATTTCCACGAGACAGGGAATAAGACATGCCTCCACTCTTCATCTTTCTTTACCTTTTCAGACACCAACCATTCCTCCTGTGGCACTCTCTCTATGCAGGCTGAATGATTCATTGAAATGGCCACCCAGGAGGCTCTGATGATACTCGCAATCAAGAGGGCTTACAATGAGAGCCCTGGTGGCGCAGTGGTCACACCTTGGGCTGCTAACACCAAGGTCTGCAGTCAAAACCCATCAGCCACTCCTTGGCGTTGGAAACCCACTGGGACAGTTTCACCCTATTCCTAGGGTCATTTTGAGTCAGAATTGACTGAATAGCAGTGAGGGTTTTTTGTTTTGTTTTGTTTTGTTTTGTTTTACTAGATGAGTTCATAAGTCAGGATCAGTAAAGAGTAAGAATACAGTTGCTGGTCCATATCCACACCTTTCCTTAGCCAGCAGCCAAGTTGCTCTCTGCACCTCAGCCTTTCAGCCACGGGGC